CCACAAGTCCTTCAGTGATGATGTGTAGTGAGACTTGTGGATCTAAATCTCTGACCAAAAGCGCTTTATCAAAGAATCTATTTAGATAATCGCGCAGAGTTTCATTTAATTCATGTCGAACCGTTTTCAGTGCGTGAGTGGATTTGTATTGTGCTTTACTCGTTGCGAACCGCACGAGAAACTGGTTGGTTAAGTCTTCCTAACTTTGTACCAAATCAGGTGGTAGCGTTGAGTACCATCTAAGGGCTGTCTCCTTGAGAGTTGTAGGAAACAGTCGGTAAACTATTTGATCCGCGACATCTTGTGCCATCATGTTTGTCTGGAATTGTTCCAGATGCTCTGGAGGGTCCCCCTTGTTGTTATATTTTTCTGTTGTAATCTTGACATCCCGAGGAATTGGGATGTTCATTATGCAGGGGACGAATGGGTGAATAATTCGAGAAAAGGTCCTTGAGATACCATATGAATTCTCGTTCTCATGAGTATCTTTGATTTCTTCACCTTTCTTATTTTTGTGACCCGAAGGTCTTGGATTCCCAGTAGAGTGCGAATGAGGTGGCTCACTCTCCTCAGAATTTTCGGGAGCTATTTCTTTCTCAAGATTTTTTCTTTTTCTTTTCCCTTTTCTTGGGTTTTTTCTTTGCTCTTTTGAGCTTTTTTCAATCGAGTCAAATCTCGATTCTGCTGGGCGATTTTCATGTTCTGTAGTGTGATGAGGTCCAACAGATGTTGGGGTGTCGGTGGGTCATCCAGGTGGATGGGAATTGGTGCCACCGATGAAGCTGATTTTTCACGGGAAGCAGGGGTCTCCTTCCGCTTTCCTTTGGAGCCATTCTGGGATTTGCTACGAATGTCAACCATGTTTTTAGAGAAAGGTGGGTAAAAATTTTTCCACAGACGGCGCCAATGATTAGACCAAATATGGTATGGATAGCCCAATACGTATTAAGCCCAAATCACACACGGTTGAGACTCCTTCGGTAGTTTCTGGTCTGGGCCTGGTATTGCAGTTGGGGTGAGCCTGAGCTCTTTGTCCTTCGTCCTTCACGTTGCACCAAATGGGGGGGGGGGTACCTGCGAAGACACTTTGATGCTTAAGTCAGTATCAGAGGCAGGTGTTTATGTTGTGAAAGTAAAGGATGATCGTTCCTTGGTGATACATCGTGTGTTTATATAGTAGTTGAGATGTGTGCTTGGAGGATGCCTTTCTTCATGGTGAAGGCAAAGGTTCCTTGGTGCCAACGTAGTGTGGCTGTCATGGTTTAAATGTTGAGGAGCTTGCCGCCACGGTGTCTAGTACTAGAGTTATGGCGAGCTGGAGCTGTCTGTTGCTTACTGGTGTGAGGGTGCGGTGGTGTTTCCTTGGCCTTTAAGTTTACTGTCTGTAAAAGGTATCCTGTTGCGAGGTGAGTAAGTACGTCTTGCGTGACGCGATAAGGTCATCGCGCCTTGTATGACGCGATATGGTCATCACGCTGGTGTGCCGCGATATAGTCATCGCGTCCGTACCTGTCATTTATGCCTCGTTCTGGGTCCTTAATGGATTTGGGCTTCCATGTGTTATTGGGCCCTGGTTGGGCCTATATTATATCCGGATCAGATTCCAAACTAATATAAAATCATGGAAAAGAAAGATAAATTAAAGAAAGATTCTTAGCATATGTATTTTTTTGGTACGATAGTTTAAAAAAAAAAATACTACAGCTTAACAAAATTAGTTGTAGACTAAGAGTCTTTAAATAGAACTAATTTATTTCGAAGCTTAATTTTCGCTCTAAGGCAGTATCGTCGTAGTCAAATGATTATGTATACTAGTTATTTAAGCTTTAATTTAAAAATATGTTATTTTTCTGTAGAGACTTGAACCAAAACATAATTTGTTTTTTTACTTTTATTTTCTTGACTAAAATAGGCGCAACTAATAATATATATTTTTTAATTTAATTATCTAAAATCCCCTAATATGGTGGGAAGTGGACATGGGAAATTATAGTGAGACCTTGGTGTTATGCGCTTATTCCTTGTATCTATAATAATCTGAACCCATAAAAGGAGTAATTAGGAATTATTATGAGATAAAAATGGTATAATTGGACTAAAAATCTAATTTAGGGATTTTAGACATTTTTTAGGAAAAAGTGTGAATAGTGAAAGTTTTGAGGTAAAAAATAGAATTATGTAAAATTACCTTGAACTTTGAAATAATTTAGTGACAGGCTAATTTATTAGGTTTATGAGATAAAACACATGTTTAGAAATACTAAGTTATTTGGTTAGAAATGAATAAGAATGAAAGATTAAATAAGTAAGTGACCAAGTAGGTCCCATTGATCAAAGTAAATACAAGTTAAAGGAGTAAAACACTCCACATTTCACCACCTAAAAACATCATTCTCGAGCCTTTCTTCTCCAAACACCCGAAGAAGCCATTATCATAAGGTTTGCACTCTTGCAGAACTTTCGCAAATCTAGAACACCTATTTTTGTCAATTGGGCGCCCCCTCTCTTTTCCTCACTCGCAGCTATTTCATTGAAATCTCTGGCAACTATCCAAGGCCCCCTTTGGTTAGCACTAATAGCATTCCGATCCTCCCAGAATTCTTTCCTCCTTTCTTCTCTCGGGCTCGCGTAAATAGCAATGCAGACTAATGATATGCCTCCAACATATATATGATTTTAAGTTAAAAAGAGAAAGAATCTTGATCAATCTTGGATAGAAAGGGCTAGAATTGCTATTAAATGGATAAATCTCAATCAGAGAACTTGTAACTGATTTCCTTCTGATTATGTAGGAAACAGGACAAAAAGAAGCCCAATTTGGAAGCACAAGACTGAAGCCCTACGCTACTAGCGTGGGTGTGGCGCTGTCAGCGCCAGAAGCAAGTTTTAGCCAGAAACCTCCACGCTGATAGCGTGGCATTCACGCTAGAAGCGCCAGCCAATCTTGCCAACCATGCTGGCAGCGTGGGAACCACGCTAGTAGCGTGAATCTTCAATACCTTAAACAAAACTCCCACGCTATCAGCGTGGGATCCACGCTAGTAGCGCGGGAGGTACGAGAAAAATTCGTAATATATCTCAGACTGTATCCGAGAAGATTGGACCATGATACATGATGATGATTCGATCAAGATTTCTAAGCAAGGGCACAAACTCTATAAATAAAGACTTAGACCGCCAGAGACGATCATCTTTGGCTGGAAAGAATAGTGAGTGTTATGGACCCGTATAAGGGGCCCATCAAGTGATGAGCCCAATAAGGGGCAATCCAAGATCTAAATCGGTGATGATTACGGATAGATATCCATCAATGATGCTAATCTTAATACGACATCATAGCAAGCAGGCCTGAGCCTTTATCTGAGGCACCAAAAGCCCATCCACACTACCCACAGGTAACCTCTATAAATACAAGGTAAACCCTAAAGGTACGTTACGCTCTCTCTCTTACTGTTATGTTGTCACTGTGCGCACACACACACACCCCATTGGCTAACGCCATTATAGTATTCTATGCACAGTGATCTGCTTGACTAAAGAGTATCTCCTTCATAGATACATTGGAGAGGGCACTAGATCTAAGAGAAACATATCAGCTTATTGGGCTGGACATCTCTGTCTTAAGGGAAGAACATTGGCGCCGTCTGTGGGGAACCTCTTCTCTGAATTTGAAGTTCCCACCAATCTGACGAAGGATGGAAATCCAAACAAGGAGTAGTAGTCAGCAACCACCCCAAAACCAGAATCAACCACTGGATCCAGTTCTGGAAGAGGTAAATCAGCCTCAACACTAGCTAGGAAACGATGTGGACTATGATCATGTCTATGTCAGTGAAGATGTCTCGGACACCGCTTCCACTCCAGCGCGTCATGATAGGGGCGCGGCTCCAATTATGGCTCCTGTAAGGAACAACCCTACCCAGCCTCCCCAGCATCCTAGGGATCTTGCTGCACACATTGCCCAATCAGCCGATCCAGACACTCAGCTTGCTCAAAATGCATTTGCTGCGATTATGCAGCGAATAACAGAGATCGAAAATCCTAATAACCTTCAGCGGCAACAAGATTTCCAGACGATACAAGAGGAAAATAATAGGGGAATGCGAGACCTGGAACAACGCTTAACGAAGCTAACTGGACCAGGGACAACAGAAAATGAAGGCCAGCGTGTTAATGGCCGGGAAGGAAATCGCAACTTGGTTCATCAGAACCGGTTTGCTGAGGAAAGGCCCAATTCGATTAACGCAACGAACCCAAACCTGGAAGACCAGACAACGGATGACCAAAACACTGCTGCAAAGGCCATGATTCAAAACGCTTCAATAGAAGCAAATGGGCAGAGACACCAGATGGAACCCACCCCAATCGGGATCCACAGATCATTAGAGGACGGGTGGAACCTGGTGCCTACAGGAGAAAATACAGCAGGGGGCAGTATAATAACAGCCCTTTCACTGGGGAGATTTTAAATGCACCCTTACCAGAAGACTTTGATTTGGCGCGACTGCCAAAATATGATGGAAGTCAAGATCCACAGGTCCATATCGATGCTTTTGATACGGACATGTACATTCGATTTGTTGTCGTGAATATTATTTAAAAATTTGTGTGTTCTTGTTAAAAAATATTTGAGAAATTTTGTAATTTGGATCTTTGTTGATTGTTGTCATGAATATTATTTAAAAATTTGTGTGTTCTTGTTAAAAAACATTTGAGAATTTTTATAATTTGGATCTTTGTTGAACATTATTTTATAATGAATGAGATATTTTTTTTTATTTTAGTTTAATTTACAACTTCGTAGGCCTAAAAGGCCTCATAGGCCATGACAGGCTTTTTTTTTTTTTAATAATAGGCCAGGCTTGGCCTACAAACTAAGCCTTTGATAGACTGATAGGCCAGATAGGCTCAATATATTTTTACGTAGGCTTAGGCCGCCAAAGCCAAAGCTCGGCCCGGCCTATCCCATTTACATCCCTAGCTATAAGTAACAACAGCCACTAAATTGATGGCAGACAAGGCTGACCAGTGTACTCTGGATTCAGTGGATTTATTGGGTGTTTGAAGTTGACTGGGGGACCCTCCGTTGAGCAAAGCATAAATCCAATTACACCACTGGTAAACCAAAACAAAGAAACACTTCTTAACAAAAACTTTTCATAATACCCCATTTTTGGGAGAGAGTTAGAAATGAGAAAAGGTAAACATGAAAGTTTAATAAGAAATGCCTTGCATATGTAGGAACTGTGGTCCAAGCATAGTTGACGGAGCCCTTGAATATCTTCTTGCAATCTGCTATGGTATCTGCAATGATAAAGTTCTCATGCCACAAGGTTTCTGCTGGAGCAGACAGAACTCCACCGGGTCGAAGAGCCTTTGCTACTGACTCCAAGAAGCAGTTATCTGCAAGCACTTCTGCAATAGGTCCTGCATGACATAGAACTTCTTTTATTTCTTTTAAGGCTTTTAAAAATGAGAATTTTCTTCTCTCACTATAGCTGCAATTTTAAGTTGACAGGAAGAAAAGATAGTTTTACCCGTTGGGTTGAAAGCATCCAATATAATAGCATCATAAGTGCCCTCAGGAGCAGAATTGATGAACGCAATTCCTGAATACATTTGTCAGATATTTAATATATAGAGAAATGTTTGCTTTGTAAGTTAGAAAACAAATGGCTTAACTTCTTACCATCAGTGATATGAACATGCACTCGAGGATCCTGGTAACCAATTGCTATATCCGGGAAAAAGTTCTTATAAACCTGTATCCTCAAAAGCATTAAGAAATTAGTATGGTTCTTTCCTAGAATAAATTCTTCAAAGCAATGCATATAAATCAAAATCAACATCAACATCAACATCAACAACATTTTTATCCCAAATTAATTAGGGTCGGTGGTAGATGAACCCACATGAAAGGTACAAAACGGTTGAAAAAAAAGTAAAAAAGCAAAAAAAAACAAAAAAAAAACAAAAAAAATAAAAAATAAAAAATAAAAAATAAAATACAATACAATAAAATAAAAATATATGTATATATAAATAAATAAAAGTAAAAAAGAAAGGGACAAGAAGAAGTGGGGGAAATGAAGGGGAAAAAGACTAAAAATGGATCATCTGGAACATAGGAATAACAGCGGGTCTAACCCTCCACCATACTTATAGCTTTTCTCCATTCCGTTCTAAGGCATATTGCCCGCCAATCTATATCCCACTCCATTAAATCTTGTTTTACTACTTTCCCCCAAGTAAGTTTCGGCCTACCTCTGCCTCTTTTTGTGTTTAGCTCTTGGTAACAAACTTCTGTTCTTACAGAAGCATCCATGGGTCTTCTCATCACGTGCCCAAACCACCTCAATCTATGTTCTCTCATCTTCTCGGCTACCGGTACTACTCCGACCTTTCGTCGAATATCTTCATTTCTTATCTTATCCATCCTTGTGTAACCACACATCCACCTTAACATCCTCATCACTGCTACTCCCATCTTATGCTCATGTTGCCTATGTGCTAGCCAGCATTCCACTCCATATAGCATTGCCGGTCTTACTGCTGTTTTATAGAATTTTCCTTTTAACTTCAGGGGGATTTTGCGGTCACACAAAAATGCAGATGCACTGCGCCATTTCATCCACCCTGCTCTGATTCTGTGATTTACATCCTCATCAATCTCTCCACCGTTTTGTAAAATGGAGCCCAAGTATTTAAAAGCATCTTTTTTGGGTACATCTTGATCATTTAGATGCGCAGGTTCTTGGTCCTCATCTTGTACCAGAAAAAACTCACACTTCAGATACTCAGTCTTGCTTCGACTTAATGTGAATCCTCTGGATTCCATTGTGCTTCTCCACAATTCAAGTTTTCTATTAACACCCTCCTTGCTCTCATCAATAAGCACAATATCGTCTGCAAAAAGCATACACCATGGCACTTCCTCTTGAATATCTTTTGTTAGTTCATCCATAACTAAGGCAAAGAGGTAAGGACTTAGAGCCGACCCTTGGTGTACACCTACCGTGATAGGAAAATAACTTGATGATCCGTTACAAGCTTTTACACATGTAGTACCCCCATCATACATATCCTTGATTGCCTTTACATACTTTAATGGAACCTTTTTCTTCTCCAGGACCCACCATAAAACTTTCCTTGGAACCCTATCGTTTGCTTTCTTAAGGTCTATGAACACCATATGCAAGTCCTTCTTCTTTTCTCGGTATCTTTCCATTAGTTGTCGCATCAAGAAAATGGCTTCCATGGTACATCTTCCTGGCATAAATCCAAATTGATTTACAGAAACCTTGGTATCTCTCCTCAAGCGATGTTCAATAACCCTCTCTCATAACTTCATAGTATGGCTCATTAGCTTAATGCTTCTATAGTTTGAACAATTCTGTATATCTCCCTTGTTTTTGTAGATAGGCACAATCATACTTATCCTCCATACATCAGGCATCTTATTCGTCTGGAGAATCTTATTAAAAAGATTGGTCAACCATTTTATTGCCACATCCCCCAGGCCTCTCCACACTTCAATAAGGACACCATCAGGCCCCAAGGCTTTATTAGTCTTCATCCTCTTTAAAACCTCCTTAACTTCATGTCTATTAATTCTGCGTACAAATCTTCTATTCATATCATCATACGCGTCCTCTAAGTCCACCTCGCTTGTATCTCCATCTCCATTAAACAGCTTGTTGAAGTATTTCAACCATCTTTCATTTACATCTTCATCTCTCACCATAAGTTTTTGATTTTCATCCTTGATGCATCTAACTTGGGTGAGGTCTTTACTTTTCTTATCCCTTATCTTTGCAAGTTTATAAGGGTTCTTTTTATCTGTAATACATTTCTGTCAAAGTTCATAAAAGGTGGAACTTAGGAATGTTAACATAAAGACTCACATCAATCACCATTTTGTCTATTTCACATATATCAATATGCTCAACAGAAGAATGGCGAGATATCTCTCTAAGAATTCCACCATCTCCTCCTCCAACTAGCAGCACCTGTAATGTTCATAAACACCTTGTTAAACAAATTTTCTCTCTTGGTTCTTTCAGAAATGTTTCTTTTTTCCCATTAGCTAGTCTCTTAGTTCACTTGGGAGGAATAGCGAATGAAGAACAGAAAAAACCTTGTTTGGATTTGGAATGGAACAGAGTGCAAGGTGAGTGAGCATCTCTTGGTAAGCAAATTCATCATTCTCTGTCAGCTGGATATACCCATCCAGAATTGCAACCTTGCCATGTCTTGATGACTGCACAAATAGTCTTCTCAGAAACTATTTAACCAAACAAATCAAACAAAAATTGCAATAATTCAGATCCAGGATACAAAAAAGAACTGCTGAAGAAACTTAACAAATCAAACAAAAGAAAACCCAATTTAACCAAATTTTGTTTTTTCTTTCTCCTCATATTCTGCCCAAATTTCAGCAATCCAGTTGCAGAAATTCCAAACCACAAAGATTTCACTAACCAAACCAAAAAGAATTCAAGAAAACCAACAGAGAACAGAGCATATATTGATACATCATCTAATCTACCTCACAGATTCCATTAACAAGATATCCAAAGAAGAATCCAGATGAGCAAATGAGGAATTGTTGATATCCAGCGTGAAGCAACAATTTGATATCTCTCTCGCTCTCTCATTTTGTGGCAAGTGAAACCCAAAAACCATTTTTCTCTTATTTTGAACTCCAACGGATATTTTCAATATATATATATATATATATATATATATATATATATATATATATATATATATAGGGTTTGTCTACTCTCATATTGTATGAGAGATCATATCTTATGCTAAGATACAAGATGATGAGACACACGATTAAAAAAGAAAAAAGAAAAGAAAATAACAGCACACTTATGGAAGTATCTATAGCATAAGATAATAGTCTCCTACAACATAAGACTACTATTTCCCATATGTATATATATATATATATATATATATATATATATATATATATATTTTAGAGGCAACACATTACTAAAGGTATTTGAAATTTACCCCCGGTCATTTTTTGCTTGCTAATTGTAGTGAAATACGGCACATAACTCATTTTTTCAATGAATATAAAATAGTATTGAGTATAAATGTAGGGCTTTATGTTTGTTATGTTACATGATGTAACATAACAAACCTACCCACACATTTGAGAAGAGAGAGGAGAGAGAAGAAAGGAGAGAAAAAAATCAAGAGATGGGACCCACATAAAATTGTGTGTGTAGGAATGTTATGTTACATCATGTAACATAACAAACATAAAGCCCTTATATATAAACTCGAGATTACTTATTATTTTGAGTTAAATAAATAAATTAGCTTTTCAAATATATATTAACTTTATTATTCTCGAAAAATTAAAATTATAATGTAAGTCTCTCAAGGAAATATACATTTATGGGTTTTATGTTTGTTATGTTACATGATGTAACATAACTTTCCTACACACACAATTTTATGTGGGTCCCATCTCTTGATTTTTCTCTCTCCTTTCTTCTCTCTCCTCTCTCTTCTCAAATGTGTGGGTAGATTTGTTATGTTACATCATGTAATCATCTCAGACATCCTCAAAGCAAATGATAAAAACATAAAAAAAGAAATATAAAAAATTCAAACATCTCCAACTGTATAAGCTGGCTCCTCGCTTCGTTTCCCGCTCACTCACTCCAACGGTATAATTTTCCGGCAACAAAAGCAAACACACAAAAGCAACATTGCAAATAACAAAAGCAAAACACACAAACAACCTCATAGCTGTCCAATCCCTAATTTTCCCGAGAAAATTTTCAGCTCTCCTTCGCGCTCAACACTAGTTTTTGCCATTTTTTCTATTCTGCAATTCTTGTTTTTCTTCCCTTTTTTTTTCCGGCAACAAAAGCAAACACAAAAACACACATTGCAAATCACAAAAGCAAACACACAAACAACCTTTGATCTCTCCAATTTTCCAGAGAAACTTTTCAGCTCTCCTTCGTGCTCAGCATTAAAAGTTTTTTTTTTTTCTATTTTGCAATTCTTGTTTTTAGTCCCATTTTTTTTTCTTGCCGTAAATGATGGCGTTGAGGGTTTTGGTGGATGCGAGTGATCCCATGATGCGATCAAACCATCGTCTTCACAATTTCACGTCCCCTTCCACTTTCTTAAAGTGAGGAACCCAGAAGCGCGTGAGAATGGCGAATGCTGACGATATTGTTTATGCTCAGAAAAGACCCAAAGCTGTGCAGAAGAAATTAGATGTAAGTTGTTTATGCTCTTTTTCATTATTATGTTTAATATTTTTTTTTTGTGTTTTTTATGTGTTTTCTTTTTTTTTCTTTTAAAGCATATTATTATTATTGTGATAATGATTTAAATTTTTATAATTTAATTCAGCCTCCTCTCGAGTTTATCATGGATGTTAACAAACCTCAAAGCTCCATGGAGTCTCTGCATATGAAAAAGGGATGCATGCCTATGAGAAAAACTTTATTCGTCAAAAAAATTGATACCAAAAAGTCTTCAAGGGCTTCAGTTAGCGAGGTTTACAAGAAGATAAGATTGGGAACTCTGCAAGAGGAAAAGGGAAGTGTTGAAAAATCATTCTTGAAAACTAGTCATGAACTAGCTACTCCTATTGATGTTGCTAATAATAATAAGACTTTGTTAAATTGGAGACAAATAAAAGAGGAAAGACGTGAGAGAGACAAGCAAGAGGAAAAGGGAAGTGTTGAAAAATCATTCTTGAAAACTAGTCATGAACTAGCTGCTCCTATTGCTGTCGATAATAATAAGAAGACTTTGTTAAATTGGAGACAAATAAAAGAGGAAAGACGGGAGAGACAAGCAAGAGGACTAGGGAAGTGTTGAAAAATCATTCTTGAAAACTAGTCATGAACTACTTGCTCCTATTGTTGTTAATAATAAGAAGAAGACTTTGTTAAATTGGAGACAAATAAAAGAGGAAAGACGAGGGAGAGACATTGCTTATGCTCGACTCCAAGCACGACTCCAACTTGATGAGATGAAGGACACAGCTGGTTTAGAGCACAACAGGGAGGCTCAAAGAGATTTTGAGAAGCTCATTGGGGTTCATTTGTAAAAGAAAAATTAATGATGAACCGTGAAAGAAAAATTGTTTGCATTGTGATACTCTTATGCTGTAAAGTTTTTTCAAATGTAACAATGTATTACTTTCTTGTTCCCCGTAAATAATAAAAATTGAGTTCATTGTTTCTGATGTTACGCTTTCTTTATTGAGAACTTATTTAGTGCTTAAGTTTAGCTTCGAGTAAATTGAGGTAATTAAATATTATATTTTTTCTATACTTTTATAAATTAAGGACAACACTATTATTAAACTCTATAATTTTTTTTCTTGTGAACATGCTAATAGCACAAGATGAAATATTTGGACCTGTGATGGCACTTTCTAAGTTTAAGTAAGTCCATCTTATATTCTATCTCACTACCTTAACATAAAAAAAGTTTGTGATTGCACACATGAATGTTGAATTAAGTATGGTATATGTACAACAGGATCATTAACGAATCGGTTAAGAAAACCAACAACACCAGATATGGCCTACCATCAGTTGCACCTTGTGAGAACTAAATATATACATCATTTGGATCAATAACTTCAGTTTTTTTTTCTTTTGGATGCTGAACAATATAAGTTTTAACATCATCTCGGTAATCAAATAAATTTGTACACTTATGAGCTTGTGTGATGTTGAACCACTCCTCAATAATAAGATGCCAAAAAAGGAATGAAAGAATAGCAAAAAAAAATTTGTGATAGTTTTGTCGCACTTCCAAGCTGTTTGATACAATATAAAGTACATTGGAGTATTGCTGTGTTTATATAGCCTTTACATGGTATCAATGGAACATGTATGTAATTGCCAGCGCCACCAGCATAAGAAAGTAAGCAATTCTTTGATCAATTGCAGTACCTGCAATAAATGAAACAAGATTTAATTAAAAAAATTAGAAACAAGGAGGAAGTTTATTACTTCATAAATTAAGAAAAATGAGGGGAAAAAAAATACTTCAAGAAATGAGATAGTATTGAATGAGATAACATTCAACACCTCATGTAATACTACTGAATTTTGAGAAACTTCGTAATCTACAAGACAAAGCACTTCAAGAAATTGACCTAATAGATTTTATTTTTTCATCAGAAGGATCTCCGAAATTCGGAAGGATCACTCTCATTATTCAGCAAATGGTTACTTCGCACACCATAATGCACATATAAATCTCCAATTACACTAAATTGTCTAATTGTATACACATAATTGATTTTTACTCTCAGGTAGAAAAATTGGAGCAAAAACAGTTTCACATGGCATCAGAAAACAATATATATATGTTCAACAAGAAACTCACGATACCAAAAGGTGGTTTGGAGCTGCTAGCATCTGCTACAAACAACCTTGATTTCTCCCAAACTCATACCAACTAAAGTTTAGCAAACATAAAAGATGAGCACTTAATTTTTATAATGTTTTCATTCACAAACGTACAACACATATTTCCATTATCACTTTAGATTGTATTTCTTCACTGCATATATATATGTCATGATGATGAATACATGACTGCTGACTCTTAAGCTCAGTGATTGTTTATTTTTTCAGTTCATCCAACATGCTTTGTGTTTCACAGGCAGGAAATTTTGGATTCAAGTAGGATAGAATGGCTTTATCAAAAAACTAAGGTATGCTCAAATTTTCAAGTGTGCAATTGGATGGACTCTATAAGTTGATCCACTAGTATGAAAAAACTTCACAAAATAGGTGTCATTTTGGGGATAAACCAAAATGATGAAACCTTTCTACATTTACAGCACAATGGTTGCCATTCTATTCCATTTTTGGCACAAGAATAAGAATGGAACTGACTGCAAACAACACTGCGATTTTTCCTATTAATCATTTCAAATATTATACATAGTTTATATTAACAAATATAGATGAAACCACTCATTTAGTCATCTGATATCTCTGCCAATAAATATAATAGATATTAAAAACATTTCTATCACAAATAACTACAACCCAGAATGAAAAGCCTGAATTTTTCTGCTGCCCACTTCTAAATTAAAAAATAACGGTGACCCATTGACCTCAGTGGCATCAAACCTATAACAACTTAAGACAACTAAAAATAACTCTGCAAGAAATAGACATGTATTTGTACTTGGATTATCACAAATAACTAGAACCCAGAATCAAATGCCTGAATATTTCTTTCTATTAGGATGCTTCTGCCCACTAATCAATAACCAGTCAAGAGCATGCTTGGTTTATCGTTTGCACTCCGATAGCATAGTTTAGCGGTGCAGATTAAATTCCACATTACCTCTTACATATTTGGTAAAGTCAATTTTCATACATTTGTACTTGGAAACTGAAAATAACTTAGCCTTGAAAATGGAAAATAGAAAAGAGGGAAAGTATTCGGGGAGAATTACATAGCCTTGAAAATGGAAAAAAAGAACAATACAACAAACGGAAAATATTCAAGGAGAATAACATAGCCTTGCAAACCGAAAAAAAGAACTTCACAACAAACGGAAAGTATCTGTTAAGGGTGCAGAACCCTTACAAGAAAAAGAAAAGGATATGAAGAACTGAAAAGAGTTTTTTGTTATTTCTCAATGAATGCCACATGGAATACATGTGTCCTTTTTATTTACAATCTCCTATTCTAACTACCAGTGCTTGTCACCTCAGCACCTTCTAATAGACTACACTACCTAACTGTATGTTCCAATATCAGTAATACAAGGCATAAGTCTTCTATCAGTAATTCCTATTACAATACTACAATGTCTTTCACCCATGTATGAGCACTTGTTCTTCTCCTTCCAGCTTTCGTATCATTGGCCCCATCTTGTAAAGGAACCTTGTCCTCAAGGTTCAATTCCGGATAATGTGTCTTCAAATCAGATTCTTCCTCCCACATGGCATCTTCTAGTAAAGCATGAGACCACTGAACAAGCCACTGTTTGTGGTCCCCTGATTTGTTGGTGATAATGCGAGACATCAAAACAGATATAGGTTTCTGGATTGGGGAATTGTTATGACTCAATTCTGGGAATGTAGGAACCAGATCCTTATGCTCTCCTCGAAAAGGCTTCAAAACTGAAAAATGGAAGGAAGGGTGGATCTTACATCCTGCTGGTAATTTCAACTGATAAGGGACTGGGCTCAAAATTCGAGTAATAGGAAAAGGACCAAAATATCTTTTGGCTAACTTCTGATTGGTTCTTTTAGCCAATGAAATCTGACGGTATGGTTGAAGTTTCACTAAAACTAAATCTCCAACCTTCAGAGAAATATCCATGCTATGTCTATCAGCTTGAATCTTCATTCTATTATGAGCCTCTAGCAAATGCATCTTCAGCCTGGACAGCAACTCATTCCTATGGGATAATGTGACATCTACAGCTTCAACCCGCACTGATCCTTGAGGATAATGAGGAATCAAAGTTGGTAACTTCCTATATAAGGCTTGGAAGGGGCTCATTCCAATCGAAGAATGGACAGCAGTGTTGTAATGCAACTCTGTCCAGCTTAGATAAAAAGACCATCTATTATTTTCATCATAGCAGAAAGATGGGGCTTGGAAGGGGCTCATTCCAATCAAAGTTAGTACGACCGGCAATGCTATATGGAGCGGAATGCTGGCCAGCACATAGGCAACATGAGCATAAGATGGGAATAGCAGAGATGAGGATGTTAAGGTGGATGTGTGGGTACACAAGGATGGATAAGATAAGAAATGAAGATATTCGACGAAAGGTCGGAGTAGTACCCGTAGCCGAGAAGATGAGAGAACATAGATTGAGGTGGTTTGGGCATGTGATGAGAAGACCCATGGATGCTCCTGTAAGAACAGAAGTTTGTTACCAAGAGCTAAACACAAAAAGAGGCAGAGGTAGGCCGAAGCTTACTTGGGGGAAAGTAGTAAAACAAGATTTAATGGAGTGGGATATAGATTGGCGGACAGTATGTCTTAGAAAGGAATGGAGAAAAGCTATAAGTATGGTGGAGGGTTAGACTCGCTGTTACTCCTATGTTCCAGATGGTCCTTTTTTAGTCCTTTTCCCCTTCATTTCCCCCACTTCTTCTTGTCCCTTTCTTTTTTACTTTTATTTATTTATATATACATATATTTTTATTTCATTTTATTTTATTTTATTACTTTATTTGTGTATTTTTATTTATTTATTTTTTTATTTATTTTTTATTTTTTATTTTTTTTTACTTTTTTTCAACCGTTTTGTATCTTTCATGTGGGTTCATCTACCACCGACCCCAATTAATTTGGGATAAAGGTGTTGTTGATGTTGATGTTGATAGCAGAAAGCTTTGGAGAGGGATAATTCTGACAAAAAACATACAGTTTTAGATCATAAATAGATGAACTACAGTATCAAAATTATCATGAATTTTTCAACTGATTAATATTAAAGGATACAACACAAACCAACCTCATGAAGTTCAATCACTTCATCCAGATAATAACCACCCATTACATTTAACCTTGTCAGAATTTCTGATGGCTTACCAGTACTCTTCACAAAAAGCCTTCCAACATAACTGCAATCATAGGGAAATACATACATGTCAAACTAGGTACAACTTTTACACCAACATATGTTAAAATACAGAAATTACTCAATACCGTAGCTCCTCTTTTTCAAGATCATATAACTTAAAGAATAATAATATATCATCCTTTTTCTTGTATGGTGGTGCAATTGGTCGTAAATCCTAAATAATAAAGTAGTTTGTTAACATTACTGTGTTTTGAGTGTCAATTATCATAATTTGTCATCCTATCAAAGTGGTATACAACTTCCACAATACAAATGTTACCAGCCCAAGCTCCACTTCCAAAAACAATTTTAATTCTGCATTTTGAACCTTGTTTGAAAACTCTCTCAATTGTCCAACCTCCAACGTATATCGTACGGAGAAAAAATATAGTACCACTTCAGATAATTGAAAAAATGATGTATCACAAAATTAAGCACCAACATCAGGCAGACATGAGTTCACCAAAAATTGATCAGCCCCACCAACATAACAAGAAAAAACTACAGGATCCAAAACAATTAGCATGAAAAATATTTATATTGGTTGCATTTTTTATTCATTTTCAAGATTGGAGAATATAAAACAGCTAGCCATAGATTGCAGAAATAAAAATACAAAGCCAACACAAAGAATCAACTGTTGGTCCAGCCTGAGAAATGGAATCTAAAAAAAGCACAAACAGATTCAACAAAAAAACATAAATGTTGGGTAAAAGGAGCTCATTTGTTCTAGAAAACCAACATTGCCATAAAAGCAAGAACCTAAAAAGTCAGAGCTGGAAAAATCATATATAAGAAGCTTGAAGGGGGAATTATTATTAAAATAATAAGGAAAAGCTTCTTGCAAGCTCAGAAATTTACAGGTTGTGCATCCTCAATGTGTGTCAATGGTCGATTAGGATGATATGTATAGTTTTTACGCTTTGTCCATAGCCAAAAGCGCTGGAATTCAACTGATATGCCAAACTCTTTAGCAACCTCTTCCTGCATATCAAAGATTAGAAGTCAGACATTAAAATAAAAGTTATGAAAAATAGAGCATCTGTTGAGCAATCATCACCAACTTCATAAATCAAAAAACATAAGACCACAAAGATTCATATTATATATTTTGTTTCCTTCCAACTAAAGCATCAGAAGTATTATGTTTTGGTATTGTTCTAAAAAGTAATTGTTTATAAAAGGATGCAACTAAAATAATGATTTGAACTTTGGGAGTTCACAAACTAAACTTTCTCTAGTTCAATGACTCTTATCATATCTGCCTAAAAAATTTGAGAAGATAGTAAGAAAAATTAATGCATTTCTCCAAAAAGTAAGAAGACTAGCAACAAAAGCACTGGCCACAACAGTCAGTCATCAAAAATTTGAAGTTGCAATGATGGTTATCAAATATTCCCTCTGTCCAAATCCATATTGGATGACATTCCATCCTTTGACATTCAAGCAACTCTTGGATGGGTATCATCCCTTGCAAAGGGGATATGTTATGGGTCACTGAATCCCTTGCAAGAGAAAATACAAAATTTTAGAGTATGTTCACCCGCTTTGAAAAAATTAAACTGAAAAAGTATCGATGGCATGAAACTGCCTGAGTTAATCCTATTTTGAAATTAATTCCACACAGCAACATCGAATAATATAGTTCTGTGGATACTGATAATTTTACATTATCTCCCTCTTAACTATATCATAAATGAATGGTTCAAGACACTTTATGTCAGAATATTAATTTCTCATGTTTTCCAATTTTTCAATGAAAAACCAACATTTTAAAAGGAAATATTTACGATTGAGATCAGAGCAAATAAGAAAAGAAACAGTAATAGTAGTCATAGCATGCAAGGTCAAAGCACTTCTACCAGGAGGGCTACTGGTGTGATTAGTGATTATACCTTGAAAAGGTTAAAAGACCTCTGTTTTAGGACACGGAAACTCCTCACTTTGTCATGGTCTACGAGATCAATATATATATCCTTTCCAATTTGCACAGCAAGGTCTTCATCTCAATTCTAGAAAAGCAAGTTAGGAACTAGGAACCTTTATAACAGTAAAGGTGAGTCTCTTCCTTTTTTTTGATTTTGTTATGTTTTTCTTCCTGTTCTTTCTTCAGCCCAGCACAGCCAATCCCTATCTTTGATACATAAGTCCAGTCAACAATCCTGGCTTCAACTACGAGAGTATCATTCACAAGATACCCTCTTTTAGGATCATACATTTCACCAAGTGGCATGAAGGACGTGAAACTCCAATCAATTTCTCGTGCATTGAATTGGTGCTACGTATGTACATGGTGTAAGTAAAATGAAGTTACAACAAGACCCATGTCTATGCCCAAAAATTACGTGGAATTTTACTTTCTTTACTCTTTCCTTTTTGTTTCATTTAACAAGTTAATACTGACAATTTCATTCAAGACATGTAATATAACTATATCCGGATTTAGATCCAAAGTTAAAAGGACAAGAATATATGTACAAGTGGCAGTTTCAAATTTAGAAAAAAAATGTTTAATGAAGTGAAATTTGAATGAGAAGACCAAAGGCAGATGAAAAGAAATAAGTATGTTTGTTAGGTTTGTGAAATTTTTATCAGGATATGCAAAAATAAATGCTTACGAAGAAATGGCATTGGAGATGAGTATAATATACAGAGAGGTATTATTATGTGGATTTGATATAAAAATCTACCACAATCATTCAGGTTTCTCAGTGAAAAATTAGTATAGCAACAAAAATAGATACTTCAAGTATTAAGTGCTCTTCCATTAATTGCAACAAACATGTAACAACATTCTTCACTTTTAATTCCACCAACGCTTTTTTCTACACACATGCATGGTACTGCCAGGAACAAAGTGAAGAGACTACCTTTTATCACAGAGTGCTTATTATGTATTTGACTAACTGCTGCCAAGCTAAACTGTGCATATCTTCTCCAATCATTGTGCAAACTAGCTAACTCTGCAACATCCAAATATATGGACAAATAGTCCACATTGTTGCCTTTCGGGAAAATAAGCACAGCCTGCCAAGTGCAAAACAATGTTCAGGAGAGTCAACTGAAAATAAGTAAACCTAGGAACTAAAATTTCCAAAAAATGAGCATTAAATATGTGTAAGCACGATACCATTTCTAGCCACCAACAACAAATATTTCAGAATAGAGCTTATTTGCAGTAATCCTAGAAAAGTTGTGAATTCTCCATGTGAATCTTGATAATGAAGTATCCTCAACATGCTGATTCTCCACAGTTTTTTGACAGTTTCAGTTTGAGCTACAAGTAAAGATCATCAAAATAAATGAAAAGAACAATTAAGTACCATGCCTTAATTAAATCAACTAAAAACTGGGAACACAGACCAAACTGCCACACTTTCCCCAATTTTTTACCAAATGCCACGCGAATAGTATTTTTTCCTAGACTGTCATGTATCGAAGTTTGCTACGACTGGAAGCGAACTTCGTCCCTTTGATTTCGTGACACGTGGCATCATTCGTGTGTCACATAGCGTACCAAGTTTGCTAATAATAGTTCAGTCAGCTTTTCCTGCGAAAGTGTGCTACGTGTCACAAAATCATTGGGACAAAGTTCGCTACCACTCCAACGAACTTCTACGTGTGGCAGTCCGGTAAAAAATACTGTTCGCGTGACATTTGGGTAAAAAATTGGAAGAAGTGTGGCCCTTTGGTCGATGTTCCTAAAAACTGGGGAAAAACATGAATGACCTTAACTGAACTAGACCCGCTACTTGGTTGCCAGTAAAGATGAGTTAAACAAGATGAGAGGGAAATAATAACACAATCAATAAAGACGTAAAAAAAACTGAGACCTACCAAAATGCAAACTAACAAGAAAGCACAATTTCTCTAAAAATAATGAGGAAAACCTAGAACTCTTAGAATTAGAACAATTTATCACTTAGGTATTCCCTTTCTCTCTGGCAACCAAACAATGCATGAAGTGATTTCGTGAACTTTTTTAGTGCAATTTGATTAGATCATCAAAACTCAAAAAGGCAATAAATGGAGTGAACAAAAAAGAGGGACAGAGCAATCAGTACCTTCCATGGGTTGGTGATTATTCTCACCCAAATCCGAAAGCTTACAAATGAAGTCTTCTAAGTTAAATCATTATCTATATGGATTTCATAAATCAACCATCTACAGGGTGAAGTCGATATAAAATATTTTGAATTGAGACTGACCTGCTAGCCAATTAAATCATAGTTCCGATTTGAATTATTTCTAAGAAGTAAAAGTATGATGTGATATATCAACCATACTAAACTTACTAGATTTATTATAATCAAATTTATAATAAATTAAACATATATTGTTTAAGAAATTAAATCCTAAAAATAAATATATATAAATTTTTCTAAATTTAAATATTCAACCCAAAATATTATTATGTAATATTAAAATTCCTTTTAAAGGCCAACCTCTAAGTTTTAAGGATAGGCTTTAAAATTGGTCTGTGGCTAGGTTATTGAGTATTTGTTTTTTCACATGCATAATATGATTTAGGGTTCGCTTTTTTTTTAAAATTTTTTTTTTGAAAATTTTGTCTAATGTTTATCAAAAGGACATTGTTTTGGGTGAAAATCATTACGTTTTTGTAATTATAATTTATTTTAGGGTTATAATAGTCTGATTATTCTAATTTTTTAATCGTTCAACCCAAAACGACGTCGTTTCATTGAATATTACACAAAATTTTTTAAAATAATATTAAATACTTTTTTTTGGAGACAATAGGAAACTGAAACAGAGCAAAACAAAAAAGAGTAAATACCCCTTTTGGTCCTCAGCAAAGTTCACGATGTCCGCTTTAGTCCCTAGCAAATAAAAAGGCTATCTGTGGTCCCTAAGAAATTCAAAATGGACCCATTTAGTTGAAATCGCGGTCCCTCACAAATTCAAAAAAGACCGACATTAGTCCCTCAACAGGACTAAAATAGGCCCATTTTAAATTTCTAAAAGACCACGAATAGCCTTTTTATTTGCTAGGGACTATAGCGGGCATTGTGAAATTTGCTGAGGACCAAAAAAGATATTTACTCAACAAAAAACTAAGCACATAGCCTAGCCCAACGGACACCAACAGTGTCACTATGTAGCTTTTCCCTATAACCAGGAGGAGGAACATCAAAAACTTGCACTACCCAGGAGAAGCCATATGAGTAAGAGGCTAGAAAGTATGCCACTCTATTCCCTTCGCGATGGATGTGAGACATACAGACACACCAGCAACGATGTAACATGTTTCTAATACGCTGCACCAAGTTTGCTGCAGGATGATCAAGATGACACCCATTGATTACAATCTGCTGGGCTGATGGGGAATCTCCTTCCAACCACACTTGTCTAAATCCTTTATCCCAAGACGACTGCAAACCCACCAAACAGGCCCACAATTCAGCATGCAAGACAATACCTGAACCTAAGTTTTTACAAAAATCGAAAATCCAAGCTCCTGACAAGTCACATATGACACCACCACACCCGGACCTGTTACCAGTTTTGGCCCATCAACATTTAGCTTGACCCAGTCCACAGGGGGACAACACTAAGCAATCATCCTCTCTACTCGATCTCTTGGTTGAAGCCCCGCTACATGAAAGGTAGATGCTGCTAGAACAACACTATCACGGAACCCAAAGCTAAATGAAAAGTTGAGAAGACATTCTGGTATTTTCCTTCGAAGATCCATTTGTTTCTGTCCCTCCAAATACTCCAGGCAAGAATCCCAAATAAAAAGGGCCAATCTGATTCCAAGCTCCAATCTTTGTTACATTCTAAATTTATGTTGAACCAATCAAGCAAGTTTAGATTGAAGAATTCTTGCCATCTGTCTTGTCGCACTGCCAGAAACCAGATTTCCTTAGACTGAGGACAGTCCCGAATAGCATGAAGAGTATATTCACTCGACTGGTTGCATATTAGATACTTTATTCCCTATATTTTATTACTTAAACTTGGTAAGGTTTAATATATATATATATATATATAACTAGAGCAGTACCCGTGCGATGCACGGAGGAAAAAGATCAAAAAATTTGTCGGCGTCTGTCGTCGCTTAATTGCTAAAAGAAAGAATCGTGTTAATATTTTGTGCTATTTAGGGAGGTGAAAAAGCTATAGAACTTTGTAAGTATCTACCACAAACAAAACTCTGCAATTAAAAAACACCAATTATTAATAGGCTTAACAATTTATGATGCCGAAAGTTGTGGTATTATTAATAGGCTTAACAATCACCTATGCAAAAAGCAGTGATATATTAATATAGCTGTTTGACTTCCAATTTTAAACTTTTTCCCCCACCTATGAAGTTTAAATTTAAAATTTAGATTGTTTTTTATCAACTATAAATATATTTTTATAATTTCTAATACATTTTTTGTTTAATCTATAATTTTATATTAAATTCGAATTTATTATATATATCTTTTTCCCACGACAGAAATATTAAATGCTGAACTCTTTTCCCACCTATCAAGTTCAAAATTCAAATTGAAAAGTTTAAATTTTAAATAGTACATATTTTCTCACCCAATAGTAAGTATTATTAATAGACATAATAATTTTTCATATAAAAAGTAGTGAAAAATATCCATAAAAGGTTGTGTACTTTCTCCAAATAATAGCTTTTAGTTATTCATTCATGACATATTTTTTCCGTGTTAATTATACTCTTTCAATAAAAAATTGAAAGTTTAATTTCTTTATCACATACTAAATTAAAAAATTTATTTTTATAGTGATTAAATTTTTATAATCTATTTTTTACAGAATGATAGAGGTCATTTTAATTTTATTTAAATTTAAAATTTAAATTCTTTTGTATTAATTATACATTTTTATATGACTTTTTCTCTTTTAATTTATGATTTTTATACGTTTTTTAAAATTGGTTATACATGTATATTTAAAATGTTCATCTTAAATAATTTTGTTATTTTGCAATATTTTTTTAAATTTTTTGTTTTTTTTTATGCAGCATTGATAGGGCTAACAATTATCCATGCAAAAAATAGTGGAATATACAACAAAAGAAAAGTAA